CATCAGAGCGGGTTAGTGCTGGCGCCCTTCTTCTTCTTCATTGGTTTTATTGCTTTTCCATTTGTAAAATCTCTTCTTTATGTCCCACAGTGGCGACTGTATGACACGAGGTTTTGACATGAAGTGTGTGGACTGTGATCTGATCACCTCCATCATGATGCTGTAACTGGGAGACACTGTGTCTGCAGCCGGGCTCCTCATCATGGAGGAAGCCCTCCGGTCAGGGAGCAGCAGATTAACGCCTGTGCTTTTGGAACATGTTACATACGTGTCCACATACTTTTGGCCATGTAATGCAGCACTGCTACATACAGACACTTTAATGGTACAGGTATTTAAATATCCAAACCAACAGAGGAAAGAAATCTCATGGATGTTTTACACACGGTTTGTTTTGCTGAGGAGAAGTTCACAGATCAGATCTTTTTAAAATCAATAAACATCAACTATTAATAAATCCATTATTTACTGGACTCATTGATTAATAGTTTTGTCTATAAAAAGTCAAATTATGAAAAATGTTTGTTTTGTCCAACCAACACTGATTTTTGGTTTAGAGAAAATTAATCAATTATTACTGGATTTGTTGATATAATAGATTGAATCCAGTTATTGAGTAAATCTGTCAAACGTGATTTTAAAGTGAATCTCTAAGAACAAGACACGTGAACTGTGATTGTGATTCATTAATAATGACAATTATCAATAGTTGCAGCCATAATTCAGTTGATCATCACAAAAGACAGTGATCAGAGAAGTCACAGATTATCTGCAGACTAATTGATTAATCAGCTAATCATTTCAGCTCCTCTACTGTTACAGCAAACATGTAGCTCGACTGCTAATTACAGCTGCAGCAATTAGTCAATCAATAGAATTGTTTATCTGTTGGAAATTAATCAGCAACAATCCAGATAATCAATGAAATATTTGAGTTTTAGGTGATTCTCCAACACAAATATTTACATTTTTGAAGCTAGAAAACTGTGATTTCTGGGAATTCTTCCTTGGTCGATTAATCAATAAAATAAGTGACAGATGAACTGAGAGATGATCATGAAAATGATAAGATGCAGCAAAAGAAGAGGGACTGCAAATAATATCAGAGCTGCTAATCAATAATGTACTGATTGATTTCTAGTATCTGTTTGTTGTTTATGGTCTTTTCCAAGTTTTCACACACACACACACACACACACACACACACACACACACACACACACACACACACACACACAATGACCTTATGACCTTACAGTGTCATGACTGTATACATTATCAGTGAGAGGGAATCGAACCCGTGACGGTTTACTGTCCTGCTTTCACCAAACAACACACAAAGACACACGTGAAAGTAATGAAAGTATATACTCGTATATATATACACACACACACACACACACACACACACACACACACACACGCAGGGATTTCCCGGATACGACCACACACATACACACACTGACAAACACAGAGACAGACGTGCTCGCGCAGACATGCACGCGCGCACGCAGGCAGACGGCGAGACAGACGTCTGGCTCTGCTCGACATGACGAAGCGACGACCCCCCCTCCCCCCCACCTCCCCCCCTTTTCCACCGCGAAAACCCACCGTTTTCCTCCGGTACCTCCGGAGCCCTCCCCGGTAACTTCCCCACAGTTTCACCGCAGTTTGAGCCTCGTCTGTTTTTTGTTGTTGTTGTTGTTTTTCCCCGGTAAAGAGCCACAGAAATGTTGATTTTCTTTTCAAACGAAGTGAGGTCGGATCCGCCGCAGACCGCGGTAACGGCTCAGGAACCGGAACCCGGCCGGAAAAATCACTGTTTTTTATCAAACTCCACTTCAACCGGGAACAAAACGGCTGAAATCCGGACTGAAAATCACCATAATGAAACCGAACAGGAGGTTTCTTCAGTTCGGCGCAGACCGACAGGAAGTCTGCGCTTTGGTTTGGGGTCAAGTTCAAAATCAAGCTTTATTAACCACCGAGAGAAAACTTAGCGTCTGTTAATTAAGCTAGCGTCTGACCGGTTTATATAATCTCCTATAACCGGGAAACAGAAAAACCAACGACTGATGTTACAAAGCACAAACTCACACACTGAAACTAACATTAAACCCGTTCAAAATGCAGGAATGGGCACATTTAGTGAAGTAACACACACTTGAACGCAACATCACCATGACCAATATCACTGTGAACTGGTGTCCAGATATAAGAAACTTTATATTGTCTCCTACTCATGAGGAGTAAATCTGAGCAGATGGAGCACAAACTGCTCCGTTCACTCAATAAGCCACAACACTGAGTGTGTAGCCTCAAGGAAAAGATAGAGAGACAAGAGTCAAAGAAAAAGTCAGTAAAGTACGAACAGAAAAAGTCACGAAATGTGAAGTTACTCACTGATTTCCATGCTCTGGAGGGAGGTGTACCGCTTGCAGTTACAAGTACAGGAGACATTGGCGGCGGTGGCGTTTAAAACACCCATCAAGTTCAACATTTACAGCCTCCTGAAGCCAGACATAAATACTCCCGAAGAGGCAGACAGAGAGGAAGAAGGACAGGAGACCAAAAGAAAAAAAAAAAGCCACACCAAACTCCAGCCAAAAAATCCTCCCTTTTCCTCTCCTCTCTCCACAGCCTCTCCTCTCCTTCCCCTCCGGTCCGTCCGTCCTCCTCCTGTCTCGGTTCTCTCCTCCTCTTCTCTCCGGTTTGTCCTCCTCTTCCTCCGAAATCTGTCTGTCTGTCTATCTATCTATCTATCTATCTATCTATCTATCTATCTATCTATCTATCTATCTATCTATCTATCTATTTGTCAGCCGTTACGTGTAGTTTGAACGTTTCTAAAACGTAGTTCGGCGACTTTAAATGTCCGGTTCCGTCCGTTACAAATCAGCTTTAATGGTTCCGTGTTTTCCGCCGAGTGACCGGCGACAAACTAATCCGACTCGTCTGGTTGCCCGCCCCCCCCCCCCCCCTCTCTCCTCTCTCTTCTCTCCTCATGTCTGTCTCTCTTCTCTCTCTCTCTCTGTCTCTCTCTGTCTCTCTGTTTGTCTTTCTCTGTCTGTCTCTCTCTCTCTCTGTCTCTCTCTCTGTCTCTCTGTCTCTCTGTCTGTCTCTCTCTGTCTGTCTTTCTCTGTCTGTCTCTGTCTCTGTCTCTCTGTCTGTCTCTCTCTCTGTCTCTCTGTCTGTCTCTGTCTCTCTCTCTCTCTGTCTCTCTCTCTGTCTCTCTGTCTGTCTCTCTGTCTGTCTCTCTGTCTGTCTCTCTCTCTGTCTCTCTGTCTGTCTCTCTGTCTCTCTCTCTCTGTCTCTCTGTCTCTCTCTCTCTATATATATATAACACATGTTACCTATAAGGGGAAATATTATTACCACATATATACATCCTCTGATATATGAAGTTATACTTTTATAACAAAGTGAAATTTGTATATGTATAAATATTTTAAAAAATCTATGTGATGAATTTTTACATAGAATACATATGTTTTCTATATAAAAATTATATTTATATATTTAATTTATTAATGTAAGTTTAATAAAACAATATGCATGTTAAAGAGATCTATATGTTTATATGTTTTTCTTATTCATTTCTCATTGATTTCAAACATGTCTTAGACTTTTGGACTGTTTATAATATCATCATATGCTGACAGTGTTTGGGATGGATATATATTTATGTAACATATATCTACAATATTATACTGTGGTATATAAATAAATTAGAATAAGAAATAGAAATAGGTAAAGAAATATGTAAGGATATGTGCTTCTACCATTGAAAGGTGATAGTTAAAATATACACTATAAATGCAATATATGTTGTAATTGCACAGGTTAAAATTGCACTTGTCTGAAACAACAGTAGAATAATTGCACAGACAATAGAAGTACTGAAGTATTAGTTTGTACTGTCATGTTAGAATTGCACAGTGGGTGTAAAATAATAAGTATAAATTAAATGAATTATGGAGTAAGAGAGGAACAGAGAAATGCACACAGCCTGTATTCAGAAACTGAGCCTTAAAACCAGCCGTCAGGACTTCTGCAACTTTGTGATGTCATAACAAAGCAGTCACCAAGCCCCGCCCACCTGGACCCACCATCCAAACCTTGCAGGATTTGGTTTCTCTCAGTGTTTTTACCTGAAATCTGCTTTATTTTTATTGGATCACTCAGAAAACAGTCAGCCAATCAGAAGATAGGCTCAGAGCCTCCTTTCTTCTGATTGGCTCACCGACCTGTTGTTACTAGAGCTCCAGAGAGAAGCCTGAGAGAGGAGATGTAAAATTACACTGAGATTGTTTTTGGTTCTTAAAACCACGAATATATCTTCTTATGGATCAACACTTCAGGAAAATATGGAGCTTTAATGTCAACAAATCATATGAAAAGACCAACTCTGTTTTATATCAGTCTGTGTCTCTGTACTTCTCCACTGATGGTGTAAATGTTTAAAACTGTGTCACAAACACTCAAACGGGAGTAAACTGTCTGTGTACATCCATCATGGTTTGAGGCTTTTCATGGGATTTGTTGACAATAAGATAAAATTAGAATATCACAACACTTGTCCTTTATAGACAAAACAAACCATATATAACCACTAAATATTACACTAAAGTAATGCTGTCAAATACAAACCTTCTGCAATAAATCCTCCTTCATTAAGGTTATAATGTTCAGTTTAAAGAGATGTTGATTCAGCTGTATGATATTTAGTCTACCTTTCCTGATATAAATAGAGTGGACAAAATAATAGAAACACCCGAAATAACACAATCCAGCTTTAATCTACATCCTCTATAATGATCATTCAGGTGAATCAACAAGTAATGCAAGCAGTGTTTGCCCAGGTAAAGCTGAAAAATATTCATCAGTTAGGACGATACTGAAGTGAAGTGATCTGATCTCATAAATCATTGTAATCTGAAAGCTAGCTTGACTTCCAGCCGTTCTGTCTTTGATGCCTATTTAAATGAAATAATATAATATAAAAATATGTGAAATGCTGTTATATTAAAAAAGCAACATATGTATGAATATCAATGCACTTTAATACCTGACTGATCACTTACTTTGTCTCTTCTTTTCATTTATACATATAATTGTCTATAAGTTTAATATTGTTTTCTTTCGTTTTATTATGATTGTTTCTTTCATTAATTTTCTGTCTTCTGACGTATATTCCTATTCTTATTACTGCTCGCTCTGTTGCTCCTGTTCTACATTTAACCTGAATGTGATTTGTGTCTTTTTGACTGTTTTGACTTGTTGACTGTAAAGATTGTACATACAGAGCATGCGCAGTGAGGGATCACCCCGGGGTGACAGATGTGCACAGAGGTGCTGAAAGTAAACTTCCGCATTAATTGGTTAAGAGGAAGCAACAGCAGGTAAACGAGCTAATGACACCGATTTATCCTCTCTGTGAGAGATCTGCTGTAAATTAGAGACAGAATATTGTTACAGGAGTGGCGCAGCTGCTTTCAGGAATAGATCGGTGCGTAGGTTTTGTGCGTAGCGGGCGAGAGAGAGAGAGAGAGAGAGAGAGAGAGAGAGAGAGAGAGAGAGCGGTGACGTCGGCGACCGGAGCAGAGTTAGCTAGCTAGTTAGCAGTTAGCAGTGTAGCTGTGAATGTGCCAAAACTACAGCTGCGACTCCTCAAGACCGAAGTTCCCGCGTCTCCCCCGTGCTTCAACTACAGACTCTGACCCGGGGAAGACTAACAACACCGGGGCAGGAGAATACAGAGTGAGTCACTGTCATTTTTTTTGACAGACGTGATTTTCTGGAGTGTATATTGTAATTCATTATCTAGAGAGTAAAGGTGTTTTGTTATGTTGGACAGGTGTCATGGAAACAGTTGGGCTCAGTAATTATTCATTTGAGTTCTAACATTAATAAGTTATCTTCAAAAAATGTAGTATATTTAATATAAAAATAATGAGTTTTGCACATACAAACTGATTTATCTCTCAGTTTAATTCATTTGTGTTCTTACATTAATAAATTGTACGTACAAATATTGAGTATAGACATTGAGTGTAGACTTTGTTATCATGTGACTAAATTTCTACTTAGACAACTGGGCAGATTTCACCTGCTGACGAAGACCCTGTGATGCAGCTGAAATCTCCAGAAAAAAACAAGTAAGTGAACCTTGATGTTTGTTTGTTTGTTAGTTTGTTTTTCTTTCCAAGGCCAGGAACGGCCTTTCACACTAATATCACAGCTTTGCTGAATCTGCAAAATCCAAAGTGTCAGTATGAATGGCTAAATCATTTCAACTCCACTTACTCGCTTATTCAGAGCTTTCAGCCACATTCCATGGTCTTCATTAGCAAACTAAACACAGCAAACTGTAGCTTTCTGCCAGAAACTTTATTTATTTAACCCAAATTACTAATTGTGAGCACATTATTAATGTAGAAATACCAGTTTGCTTTAACGCCTGAATTTTAATTTTAATAACACAACATGATTTTATCATCACAGCACTGACAGGTAATATTAAAGCCAAATTTAGCCCCAGCATAAAAACCAGCTTGCACACATGTGAACCTCGTCCACAGTGAACGTGATGTCTGCTTTTATTTTGGTCTGATGTGGAGAGTGCAGCTGTTTCACAGTCAGCTGTGTCTGATGGTTCGCCAAACTCCATCTAGATTTAGACAAATTGTAACACGCAGCGCGTTAGCCTCGAGTGTCTGACCCCTGTGTCTGCAGCACCTTCACAATAAAAGCCTTCCTCTGGTGCTCAGTTGCTTTGTTCACCCTGATTTTTTTTTTTGCAACGTTCCCTGTTGAGAAGACAAACAGGGACATAGCTTCATGAAAACACAGTGTTGTATTGTTACTCAAAATATTAAGCAGCTCGTTCTCATTTCAGTTAAAAATGTTAAAAAATAGGGATGAGCAATTAATCTAATTTCATTTTCAATTACGATTTTTTCTTCCAACGATTATGAAAGCAAGATAATTGAGATAAAATGACATTCTGTTTCGCAACAAATTTCATCCCCCTACAAAAACCCTCCCCCCATCCACGTGCTTGTTGCATTTTAGCGTACATCGGCAGCGTACGTAGGAGTGCGTCCTCTACAGTCCAGGCTTGAATTTCCTTGGACTGTTAAAAAGTTGATTTTTAAAGTTCAATAAATGAGTGGTGTTTCCAAAGTCAGTGATTAATGGTGTTAGATAATTGTGATCTCAATATTAATCAAAATAATCCTAATTATGATTTTTGCGGTAATTGAGCAGCTCTATGTTAAAGTGACGTGAATATAGACTTTTACAGCAGTGGCTGAGTGTAGCAGACACATCAGCTTTAAAATATTCATCATGTCAAAAGAGCTGTAAAAGCTGAATATTGGTGTGTGTGTGTGTGTGTGTGTGTGTGTGTGTGTATGTGTGTGTGTGTGTGTGTGTGTGTGTGTGTGTGTGTTAACAGAGCCAGACAGCATTGCGTCACATCCTTGATTGACAGGCCCC